GAAAACAAGAACTAAAAATTATGTGTTGAAAGTGAATCCGCTTGATTTATTACGTTTTTGTAACCTTGAATAGCATTCTTTCATTACGCATTATTTACTCATTTTTGTCGCGGCTCAACTCTGTCGGCGTCACATTGAACAATGAACTCACGTTAGCTAGGCATATGGCTGTGGCCATATGTGCAGTGGCAACGCTTTGGCGCGGTTATTACTGATATAGTGTTATATAAATCAATGCCGAGCATAGCCCTTTTCGTAGCTCGCTGAGCGACTTTGAGCGTCCTCATAGGGCCAGCTGTGAAGGACCATGGATTATTGCGTAATACTTATTGAAAAAATATTTTTTTTATTTACCACTGGTTCGGAAAATACCTTTGACTTCGGAAGAACCAGCAAGAAACGAGATAGACGTAGACGTAGATTAGACGTAAATAAAATTTTACCATGTTTTTTTTTACAATTTGGCTTTGCCTGGGTACAATCTATGGTATTATTTACATTAAATATACCATATTTTAGCCTTTCCTAAATCTCGAATTGGATAAAATATAGGCCTAGATTATCCTGACATTACTATCTGCTTGTGAAATTTCAACAAAATCTGTTCATATACTCCAAAGATTAGTTCCGTCAGACAGACGGACAACAAAAATAACAATAAAAAACATTTAATTATAATCAGCATGGTAGCGGTTACCTCATTCCCGTGGGTTATTTACATATACCTAATAATATTACCTTAATATTATATATTTTTAAACTTGTAACCCTTTAAATAAAGCTTTTGCTTAATGAAATTTTAACCATGGTGTTGCAAACTTTGAATATTTCCAGAAATTGTGTTATAAAACCGTATACATTGAACCATAAATGAATTACTAATTCTGTGGAGTCTTGTAACTGGCTTTACAATCTTGTGTTTGCTCCTAATATTTAAAGTATGAATATTATCTTTGTTCTTATCAAAACTATTTATGTTTTACCTACCATATATAAATATTACGTTTATGTACTTAAATACAGTTGAGAAATTTTAAAGAAATAAATATATGAACTTTGAAATGTAAGTTATAAATTGCCCTTACGATGATCTTTTGCAAAACAAATATGGTTTCAACGTCGCGTCGGTCGCGTTTCCCCATAGCAAATTCGATGACACTTTACGCTATGAATGTAACTGAACTAAACCAATCTAGCAGTTTCAAAGCTTCATTATGTTCATGAAATTAATATATTGTTCTAAGATCAGATTAAGAAGGTACTATACGGCATGAGAAGTAGAATCAACAGATACGAGCCAAGCCGTCAGAGCCGAGATCTGTATATCCCAGTTCAAACGGCGCGGCGTGGTGGTTAGATAACTCATAATTATAATGAATGAAACAAAGTTTACAGATTTTATCGCGTTTAATTTAACTGATTTTACTTATTTTTATTACATATCCACTGCGTAGATCGGACCAAAAATTAATATTAAAAAGCTAGAGGTAGCGCAAGTTAACTATGACATCGGGACGTCAAATACCTCAGTTCGCACGTGACCAGAAACGTTGGGAATTAAAATTAATTAAAATCAGTTAAATAAATGCGATAAACTCCTAATAATGAGTCTTATTAAATGTCTAAAGTTTTAAAAATGAGAAATCATCATTTGTGCACCGATTCGTGAGTAAAACACCGTACCTGATGAAATCTGATGTTCAGACACGGACATCGTCATCATTTTATCATCATCAGAAGTTCTCTTTTTATTTCTCACAGACTTACGATAAAGCGTTAAAGCTAACTAGCTAATAGCACAAACATTTATTTATATATTATTAATAGCTTGCCAGGCAGGCGTTGTTCTGCCCTTTTCGACGACCCTTTGTCATGTCCTATTAAAAATCCTTAAATTCGCAAAAAAATGTGGGTTACTCATGGGCAAAAAACGTATCCTATCTCTCAAGTTGGACCAAACTGCACACGGAGCGCAAATTTGATTAAAATCGGTTAAGTAGTTTAGGAGTCCATCGCGGACAAACAACGTGACACGTAATTTATATATATTAAGATTAAGATTATCTCTACATTAGGGTTTGAATTCCCGACAATTTCAATGTCCCGGGACACGAGACAGTCTACAATCAAAGTCCCGGGAAATCCCGGGACTTCGAGACTTAAGAAGAATTACTTTTAGAAAGACTTTAAGAACAATTTTTTTAAGAGGGGTAAGCCTTTTTTAAAGAAAAATCATACTAAATCTTAATAACTTTACTTTAATCTAGTAATTCTAGTATCTAATCATAGGTCGTAATCACAACATTGTTAACTCTCATAATCACAGATTTATTTCATAATTAAATAATCTAAATAATATAAATAATAAACCACACTTATAAATCAGTATTTTAAATAATCAACTAACACAATAATTAGACTTCTTTGCTGATTTAATAAAATAGACTTTTAAAATAATCAGAGCGTCAACAGCTTTGTCTGACAATCTGTTTCTGATTTTTGTAATAATGTCACCGGACAAGGAGAACACCCACTTGTTTTCAACAGATGTCGGTTTAATTGTGTTTTATAACTTTATACAGTACATAGTCCAAATTTTCGGTACGTTTTCCGGTTGCTTCAAACAACTGAAACTCCTTTTTTAATGTTGCTCTTTTTTCCAGAATTTCGGGTACATTTTATTGGATATTTTTTATTGATTTTACAAAATACATGAGACGTTTGTTTTTACAAAATACTCTTCAGGCTTGTTGTGTACTTGAAAACTACTAGTACTAGGTTCAGCGCCCATTATTTCCACATCTAGTGTCCGAATACTACACATATTTTCGAAGCCTACAAAGGATTTTCGAATATATCCCTATTGCTTTTTGTATTTTTATTTTGTATTGTTACAGTTCTTCCGCAAATTCAATTAGTGCAGTTTTACCAATATTCGAGGTAAAAAAGTCCGTGTTTTGAGACTGTGAGTTGTGGTGGCCAGTGTGCAATTATTTTAACAAGCATGCAACACGTTGTGGTCTTCTCTATTCTAGGTAAGCTTTAAAAGTTTCGAAGAAGCGCTTCGGCAAATCATTATTAGTCGTTGTCGATTGAATTTTTTGAGCAAGTCGTCAATTATTGCTACAGATGTAAGTAATGAACTGTTTTGTCGACCTTAAGCTTCCACAGCTATCTTGAGTAGCTGCAACAAATCAACAATTGACTACAAAAGAAGATTGTCTTCATTCCAATTGTCTAACATGTTTAAATCAATAAAAGCTTTCTTCACGCAATTTTTGAGCTTCAAAAACCGTTACGTCATCACAATGATGGAACGCCACCTTATTTTAACATCCTGTAATAAACTGAGTTCAAAAGAAGCACCACACCATACTCACATCATAAATGAAATTGACGACTGACTGACTGAACTGACACAGACACAATCATAATCCAAACGTCACGGAATAACAGATATGGCAGCGTGATGGCTGCACGGCAAATGCATTCATTGTGTTGTGTGCTCAGTAGTTACGTAATAGACCAAGTAATTATTCATTAAACTAACGGATGGCAAAAGGTTCCTTCAATTATTTGAAAATAAAAATAATTACATAACAATTTCGACAATCTTGTCTCGTCTTGAGTCTCGACCCGAAAGTCCCGGGACTCGAGACAACTAAAACTACGAAAAGTCCCGGGACTTCGAAACACGAGACGTCCCGGGGCCTAAACCCTACTCTACATATAACAATCAATTGCTATCCGTTAGTCGATAGAAATTGATGAAATTTTTTGTTTGTGTCTGAATGGGTCCTTAGATGGTTTAGGTTCACACTTGGAACCGGTAGGTGGCGCTGTTGTCGAGATTCAGAAATCCGTAGTTAATAATAAAATTAGACTGACAGATGAATTAGTTGACAGTCCACCTGAAGGTAGGTAGGTGGGTTATGCTGCTCATGCGCAACTGCAACTGACTTCAAACAAAGGAGACTACACATGCGTTGTCAACCCTGATGACTAAGTCGGCATATCTCATCAGCAGGAAAGTAATAGTGACTCTGCTATACCCTTCAAACCGTAACAGTAGCAGGGGGCACTGCTATTTCGCGGCAAAAATAGTTAAGAGGACTACCCAGACAGACCTTACTAGACCCCCAGGTAGGAAAGAACATTTTTCTTCTTTTTTTATTAGAATAAGGGTGGCACAGTCCACCTAATGGTAAATGGATGCTATGGCCCATAGACCTCTGCATTTTTCCTCAATTGAGAATCAAAATTCAGATGCGTTGTCATCCCTGAGGACTAAGATGGAATGCCTCATTTCCAGAAAAACGGGTCTCCGGTTCTCTTCATTCACCATACGAAACACAGCAGCATTAAGCTGCTGTTTTACGCTGGTATTCTGTGAGAGCGTGTTCCTTACCCCTGTCGAGTAGAACCATCCGTGCTACACTATAGTATAGCAGCAGCGTAACTCTACCACGTATAGCATTCAACTAAGATGGAGTGTATCACTTCCATAGAAAACTATAATACACAATAGAATGGCTATCAACTTTACTTTGTACGAGGATTGGCGTCGCCAAATCCGATTCGCTGTGTTGACAGACTGAGTAAATTTACACATTTTAGACTTTTGATTAATGTTCAAGATCATCATTAAAAAAATAGTTTAAATTTTAATACGTATTTATTTGTAAATAGGGTGCAATTTGGCATTTTCTAAATAATTTGCATGCGTATTTTGGAAACGATTGTAACGTCAAAACACATCTCGTGTTGACATTTATACGTGTGAATTGACGTGTTAGTGGCATTTTAGTGGCTACGCGGGCTCCGCCCGCTCCCCCTTTCTATTATGTATGTATTATATTATTCTATGATCACTTCCAATGAAAAGGGTCTCTAGTTCTCTACTGTACCTTTGAAATATAATGTACTAATTTACGTTTAAATTTCTATAATTGGAGATTTTACTCCATAAATCAATTGGTTGAAATGAGTTTTTTCCGCAGTCTGCTTCAAGATATTCGACTTGGACGGAGATGGGATCCTTAACAAGAAAGAGATAATCGACATGGTTGAAATACTGTGTACCGTTGCCAACGAGTCCCTCAAGTACCAGAGCTCCAGAGCCTCGACACCCTCGGATAACACAGAGTCTGAAGGCGACAAGGATTTTGACCCTGAAGTAGTCCTTCTCAATTTAAGAGATAAGCTGGTGACAGTGTCGAAGAACGGAAAGAAACCGGTGTTTCAGCTCGGGCCAAATAATGACGGGGATGAAATTTTAATACAGAATAAAGTTGAAGAAGAACTTCTTGCGATAAAAGAGGTAAGTAATTTGATTTTTTTTTAAATTATAACGGCGCTGTTAATTCCGTTTCCTGTAGTTTGAGCGTTATTTTGTATGTCAATGCACAAATGAAATAGACATTAAAAAAAAACACAAATTTAAGAAATAATCTTTTTTATTTAGCCAATTTAAAAAAAAAACAATTTGTATTTGAATTTAAATCTAATATGGGTGCACCTCTATCATTGCATTCATTTAGCGATGTGACGAACGTTTAATGTGGGAAAGATTCGCGAATGCGAATGCGTATATCAGCTTTTTAAATATGACGCCAAACGTATGCTATTATTATCTTACTTTATTACTGTGTATTTACAAACGGCCATGTTGAAACTGTAAGTAGCCGATACTACATTGTAAACAAACAACCCGTGATTGCTTGCTTACTGACTGAAGTTAGCTGATAGTAGGTTTTTTGTCAGTTTAATTTTGACGTTAAGTAAATACATACTCGTACATTCGTGCAATTGTTATAAAGATATTTTTCAATATGAGTAAGTCGTGTGTTAGCGTAGTTATAAACAATACTTGCGCCAAGGTAGAACAACGAGTGCTATGAGGAATCACCTGAAAGTTATACGTAAAAGTCCGTTCAATGAATTAGAAAAAGAGAAAATTAAAGGCGGATTGCTTTGACGTCCTCTTCACGTGTCACAATGTTCTAAAACTGAACTTTGTAGTCCAACTTGTAACAATAATATTATAAATGTAATGCGTTGCATTGTTATTTTATAATCTATTTACACTTTTTCTTGCCAAATGCATTCGCAAAAAAACTCCCATAAACTACTGCGAATACGAATGCGAATGCGAATATTTAAAAAGACGCGATTACGAGGCATGACCTTTAAGTTTTATCGTTTGACCGAAAAAATACTACTAGAACCCTATAGTACTTTTTATTGTTTTTCAAAGTATTCACTACGTAGTAAAATTACGTAGTTTTTGATATTGTTGTTAAAATGTATGATTTTATTTCTTAGATTTTTAAGCAATTTAACTAGCAATGATTCTATAATAATGTTATATTACTAACCAATTTATGGACTCTTGTCTGAAATAAAGTTTATTATTATTATTAAAATACTTTTCCATTCGCTCGAACCAGTTATTAAAACATTTATTCCGCTCCAAAGTGGGGTTGTTCAATACGGCTCTTTTGAAAGCGTCTATTGCTACTTCACCGGACTGGAACTTTTGACCACGAAGATTTTTCTTAATTTTAGGAAGTGTAATGTGAGGTAAGATCTGCTGAATGGTTGTCCCTGAGATGCCAAATAACGTCTCGATATGTCACATGACGATCTTCGAGAATTAATTTTCTCACAAGAACGATATTATCTTCAGTGAAGACGGATTTTAGACATCCTTTTCGAGATTGGTCACTAAGATTGTCATGTCCACGTTGGAATTCTAAATGCCAGCATTCCACAGTCCTCAGACATGGGGTTTTATCATGGAACACAGAAGTTAGCTCTTCAAAACACTGAAGCCAGGTTAGACCTCTTCGAAAGTTGTAGAAAATTATTGCACGGATATTTTCCTTGGTAAGATTTATTTTCATACGTGACCTGACGGATTCAAAATGACTCTGTGACTAAACAATAGCATTAATCCTCATACTTTCGATTGTTTTGAGATTCTGACTTTAAACACAGTCTAGTTTCTGGATGTTAGTGCTGTTAGTCTATGCGACTCTTACAGCTATTTGAATATTGAACAGTTCCAAATTCAAAATTGCCGGTAAATATCTAAACGACAGAACTTAAAAGGCGTGCCTCGTATTCGCGAATGCAACTGCGAATGCGCATATTCATTACACGATACATTAATTACATTTTTCACAACCGCTGGTTAAAAATAAATAAAAGATTCTACAATTGTCTTTGTAACTTCGTTAACAGTAACGTAAAGTATGAAGTAAAACTAATTATGAAACTAAAACTGGATGGTATTAGTACCCGAGTTAGAATGAAAATGTTTCACTCGATTTCCATGTTCTTGGCGATAGTGTCCCCCAAATCGAATTTCGGTCACAGTCTTAACGGAGAGTAGTGATATTCGCAGGAACGGATTATAGTGAATGGGTTAATGTTCAAGCAGAGTTACACTCTATTCCCTCACGGCACGGCCGACGGTAAATCGACACGACTGGAGAGATCAGGCGCAAGACCGCCAACTACCTGACCTTGGCCTGTTACTGAAAATTTCTTTACAGAAAAACTTACTATTTATTGTGGCACGAATCGCTATTCGATCTCGAGATCAGCAGTCGCGTTTTCGACCACTAGACCAACAAGGCACTTCCTGGCGACATGTCATTGCTGAGCGTCCATTGTATCGGTCGAACAACAGTGGTCTTGTAACGATGCAATTTTAGTCAGCCATTTACGTAATTGCTAGCCATTTAATCATGTATGAACATAACAATTAATGTCTTTGTTTGTCTCATATGCGTTTCCTTTATAGTTCAATTAGTATACGATGATACTTTAGCGAAATAGATCATTTGTTTGTTCGTACAGTTTCTATGCATTACAAAGAAAGAATGAAATAGATATGTTTATTTGGCACACACATTTAAACAAAAAAAAAACAAGCAGGACCGAGAAATTTTATTTTAACAAAACTATTGAAATAAAATTATCTTCATATGCACCAAAACGGTCTTCACTCAGCTTTAAGTCGCGAATTGAAGATATACATTAATTCATTCATTCACATCATTACTAATAACATTGATCCAATTATAATGAAACTTTGGTGAGTCATGCGCACGCTCGCGATAGAGTCTGACAAAAAAGGCATTGGATGCCTGCCGAGCACACCTAGTATCGAATCAATAACGTTATGATCCTTATATAAAAGACCAGCACGTGCCACTGTCTTTGCGCGAGTACTAATGGAATTAAAATACTTATAGTATATTTAAATACCTTGGTATAATATACTTTTTATAGGACCCCTCTCCTATGCAAACAAGCATACGGCTCACCTGACGATAAGTGACCCGAGTGATGATAAGTGAGTGAGCGCCCATCAACAACTGCAACACCATGGGAATTGCAAATTCGTGGCCGGCCTTTTAAAAAGGAGTAGGCTCTTTTCTTGAAGGTCCCTAAGTCGTATAGGTCCGGAAAAATCTCTGGTGGTAGTCGATTCTACAAGGAAGTTGTGCAAGAAAGAAAAGTTCTTTTAAATTGCACAGTGGTAGACTGCCAGATATCCAGGTGGTGGGACGGTATCGCGACGTTTTGTCGCGACGTGCGATGGTGAAATTGTGCGGCTGGAATTAGTCCGAACAATTCCTCAGAGCACTCCCCGTGGTAGATGCGATAAAATACGCAAAGAAGTGCAACATCCCTTCGCAGTGCCAGTGAATCAAGCCGATCGGAAAGAGCTCGGTTGCCGACAAATCGAGCAGCTCTGCGCTGGATGAGATCAAATACAAGGAGCTGGTAATGGGGAGCCCCAGGCCAGAGATGGGACCAGTATTCCATGTCCGGCCAAACCTGCGCCTTGTAAAATTGCAGGTGGTGTGCCGGCATGAAATAGTGTCTGGCTCTGCTGAGCACGCCAAGCTTTTTAAAGGTCAATATGGCCTTCTCTTCCAAGTGAGCACAAAACTGTATGTCACTCGATATATCGAAGCCGAGGATTCCGATACTGGCTGAGGCAACAAGGGGAGTGCCTTGAAACTGAGGAGATACGATGAAGGGGTTCTTTTTAGCGGTAAACGAGCAAACTTGTGACTTCTGGGGATTGAACTGGACTAGATTTAATCACCCCCAGTTCGAGACTTTGTTTAACAAAGTCTCGACTTCGGACACGAGTTTTTCCCGGTACTCGGCGACGTTTTCTTGTAATCGGAGCATGCACCGTCTACTACGACATTGATGCTCCGATCTGCAAGAAAACTGGTGATCCAATTGCATTATTTCTCGGGAAGCCCATATGAAGGAAGCTTCGGAAACGCTTAGTGCCAAACCCGATCGAAGGTCTTCGCTATGTCTAAACTAACGACCTACGCTTCTTTGGACTCTACTGCCTTCGCCCATTTATGAGTTAGGTAACCCAGAAGATTACCAGCCGAGCGACCCCGACAGAAACCGTACTGGCGGTCACTACTCAGCTGGTGATCCTCAAGGTACCGCATGAGCTGGCTGTTAATAATGGACTCCATTATTTTAGGGAACATGGAGGTGATGGCGATAGGCCTATAGTTGGTCGGATTAGAGCAGTTACCTTTTTTAGAGATCGGGTGCACGAAAGCTGTCTTCCATGATTTCGGGACTACGCCTAGAGAGTAGAAGTACTGGAAAAGACGCATTAAAACCGGTGCTAACTCCGGAGCACACGTCTTCAGCACAATAGGACGGATGCCATCAGGCCCACTCGACTTGTTGACGTCCAGGGAGAGGAGTGCTCTGCGCACCAAGCGTTTGCTAAACAGCACATCCTGCATGGAGCACTCACACCGCGGGGTGGTCGGTGGTGTGTTCCCCCGTCATAAAGATAAAGATAATTAATTTTGTTTTGCAAATATGGGTACAGTACATGGAAATATAGGTAGTGAGTTCAGCCCTATTTTACTAGTAGGCATGCAAAATATACAGGAATATAAACTAATCACCTAAACAGCTATAACAAAATAAGCTAAAGTAAATAAGCTAAGCTATAAGTGCCTCCGCGCGCCTGCACGAATGGCGCGCGGAGGCACTGTGCCGTGGGGAAACCCCGCTGCCGCGGCAAGTTGTCGCGCAGCGGACAGACTTCCGGCACGATCTCATGGCGACATGGAGACAGAGACTGTCGCAACCCCGTGCTGGGCACGCCACTATAGCGGCGATAAGACCCCTCTTTGAGGAGTGGCTTGAGAGACGCCACGGCATCCTCACCTTCCGCCTGACGCAGGTCCTCACCGGACACGGTGTGTTCGGGAGGTTCCTGCACCGAATCGGGCGGGAGGAAACGCCCGGGTGCTCCCACTGCGAGGATGGACCGGAGGACACGGTGGAACACACCGTAGAGGTGTGCCCTGCTTGGGCGGAGCACCGCCGTGTCCTCGTAGCGGCGATAGGCGGCGGCGACCTCTCGCGTCCGGCCCTGGTCGAAGCCATGGTCCGGAGCGAGACGGAATGGGATGCCGTCACCACCTTCTGCGAAGCAGTGATGCTAGCGAAGGAGGTGGCGGAGCGGGAGGAAGAGAAGCTTTCCTCCCCGGCCGCCGCGGGAGACGCCCCGGGCGTCGGGAGCTACGTCGTGGCCCCAGGTCACCGTAGGCGCGGGCCTGTGGACGGCGAACAATGGGTAGCTCGCCGTCCGTCCGTCTAACGACGACAGGCCGTGTCGACGGCGCGTTTTGTTCCACGCGCGCCTCAAAGAGCTGTCAGCAGCGTGAAGGGGCCCGCAAGGGCCGACGCCTGCCGGGGCTGCGGGCTGTTCGAAAGAGATACCGCGGCTCCGGAACGTAAGGGCACTGAAGGAACACGGATGGTTTTTAGTCAGTAAAAGTCTGACACTCCCTTACGCTCCACCCAGAGCGAAAGACGTCATTAGATGATTTACCATCCGCAAAAAAAATGCATCTTTTTTGAGCCTTAAACTCTGACTCTTTTTCGGTTGAGTTACCCCAAAATATTATCATCAAGAGTAGAGTTGGACGTAAAGAGAGATCCCAGCACATCGACTTTGTCCTATCTGGTAAATCCGTTCATCCCATCTATTACAGTCTACAGAAGTGCTGAACCCATAGGGGACACATCATGTCACAATAGATTACCTCATAGAAGAGATTTTGGCATATTTGCTATCGTTGGCAGGCGGGTTAGCGATAGCAGTTTTTATAATTTTTGGTTATAATCAGGAAGACGCACAGTGTACATTATCGAATAGTGATGGTGTAAAGAATATCCACTACTCTAGTACTACTAGTTCTGTGGCTGTCGTTAAAGGCGACAGGGGATGCTAAAACAGGAGATGGAGCAACATCTTTTTCATTCAATCAACATTCCAAGCGTAGCAACTATGAAAATTCCTCTATTAAGGAAACCGTGGGGGTGGCCCATGTTTAGCAGTGAACTTTTATAGACTGTAATGGTAATGAATAATATCCTAACTACTCAGCATTATAATATGGTTGTAGCACGAATGAGTCGGCTCGATCGAGGAAAGACCACTGTCTTGTAGAATACAAGCATTTAATTGCAGCTTAACGCTGCAGTGTTTTGTATGGTGAGCGTAGAAAACGGGAGACCCGTTTTACTAAAAACCATGCATTCCAACTTAGTCATCAGGAGTGACAACGCATTCTGCATTTTGATTCTCAATCGATGCTACATGTCTATGGACCTCAGCATCCACTTATCATCAGGTAGACAGTATGTTCGTTTGACATCTTTATTTTATAATCAGTAGGCACCCGTGGACGTCGCAGAGGAGACAGAGGGATACTGAAACAGGAGACAGGTAGTAGTATCTTACTGATAACTACTTACCATGGCAAAATCGCCCCGCCCCCCCATGAGTCAATTTATGAGGGAGTGGTCAGTCGTAAATGCGGCTGAGTCCTCGGATTCGAATTCCGGGTTATGCCAAAATCAGAATTGGTTTTTGTCGGTTGGTCCCGTGCCTGATCTCTCTCCGTTCATGTTGAATAACCATCCCATCGGACTATGAGGGTGAAGGAATATAGAGTGCACTTTTGCTCGCACATGCCCTCGGGCACTATAACCCTGTTCTGCGCAGATGATGTTCGATCGTGATCGAATTCGGTCTGGAGGACATTATTTTTTTAACAGTTTAGTAATTCTTTATTTTTATCAAACTATAACTTACTATGAAAATAAGTTTGATCTCTATCAGATTAAGCGATATTGTCAATGTTTACCTCAGACATGTTACGTCAAATCGTCGATAAAATATTGAGGCGAGATGAAATTGATAATGAGAGAAAGAAATTCATTCGTAGATCACATTATATAGAACAGCGTCACATTATGTAGAATTATTTAAGTGGTAGTGGTAAAAGAACAAACCATCCTCTTTAAGATAAGTGAAGTATTGCTGCCATATATTGGCTGGTGCTGGAATATTCCACCTAGCAGCTTTCGACTTAGTTTAAAGGCGTGCTAAGAGGGATATTGGTGACCACAATTTGGTTAAACCTAATCTCATCAGTCTCGAACAGAGGCACAAAGTAACCACCCTTTCGGTTGTCTACAAGATGCGTTTCGGGCAGTGTGTGCAGAAATTGCATAACTTACTTCCTCCCTTTCCCTTCCTTTATCGGACAATCAGGCGCTCGGCTCAGGCCAGTTTCGTTCCTTTCGTTATCAGCTTACCACACATTCGAACCAAACTGTTTGCTTCACCGTTTTTCATGCGTTCAGCAAAGGAGTGGAATAAGTTGCCAGCATCAGTCTTTCCGGTGTTTTCAAGGGTTATATTAGTCAGTGCGCTTTGCCATCGTCGTCAACAACACTTACCATCAGATGGGATAGTTGTCAAGTGCTGGCTTAGAATAGTATAAAAATGGATGTTCGAGCCCATACACCTACATCTATTCTCGATTAAGAATAAAAATGTAGATGCTCTGTTAGACCCGAGGACTAAGGTTCACTACCAGTAATAAGCTTTAAAAAAAGTAAAAGCGGACTTCAAAGAACTGAAATGAATATAATCGTCAAAATAATTGACGTGATAAAGAATTATTCGCCCATTTGTAGTGCAGATGCAGATTTGTCTTGAAACGGTTGATGATTTTCTAATGAATTCCATCATCAAATATTGACCAAATTTATGTAGGATTACCCGGATTACCTAACAAAAAATAAATAAATTGAAATCGGAAATCGGACACTGATTTAACATAAATCATAATCATAAACACTCACACCTGTCACCAGAGGCGAAGCCTCCATAGAAGCTGAAAAGCCGAGCTTGCCCTGTCAAACAGCACAATCAATAATATCAACTAATAAAATAACTCGTAAACTGTTTCAAACTATTTAAAATTTCTCGTGCACTCCTTTGTTCTGCACAGTACATTACCTCCTAGCTTGAGCGATACTGCTGCTTTATAAAAGTAATTGAAATGAGCGATTAGTCGTCTCTCTCGCATACGTGGGCTTTTTACCAGGCTTTTGAAATGACGATTGCTCCCTTTCTAAGATATGACAAAATGTTCTATAATGAAATAAAACTACGATTGCTTTTTACGATTTATTTTCATCTACCTTCCTTACATTAAGGGCACTCTAAATCCGACCCGTATTCAATATATCGTCAATTTGGCCGATAAACTTTCTACTAGGACAGGAATTCCCAAAGTGGTTGATATCGACCCCTTGGGGTCGAAATCCGTTTTCCAGGGGTCGACATAAACGAAAACTGATAATTTGTAACTGTAATTTGTATTACTAATTATTAATTACGCTTGTTATTTACTGAATTTTGTATCTATTTATTTTTTTAAATTTTGATGAGATATATGAAATAACGTCAAGTTTACTCACTTAACCAACCGCAAATTTTTTAAATTAAAAAAAACTAGAGATAGGATTTTTAAAGTAATTTGGCCGTAGGGGTCTGAGGTAACAGTTCATTTTAGAAAAGGGGTCTCTTGTCCAAAATAGTTTAGGAATCCCTCCCTGGTCCTGGGCGTTCCTTCCCGACTCTGCCGATTCTTTTAATTAAACTAGCAGTCCTAAAACCTAACCTAACCTCCTAAATCGATATAGCTTAATACAGCACCAAATAGCAGCATCAATAATTTATTGCTGTCCATATACGCAAAAAATTTTGTTAATATTATTAACTGCTACTTTGACATCTTTAGCAGAGTATGTACTGAACATATTGACTTCGAAGTGGGTTAGTGGTATAAGATAATAATTGAGTGCTTCATTAGTGCTCTCCATGTATAAAAACATATATAAAACAATATTTATTTTCTCATTTACAAATACCGGAAGTCGCTATTTCGAGTTTCAGTTTCTAATGTTTAATCAAGCTATTTTGGCGTGAAATTTTATTTTGCAGCACTAAATTTTTAGCAAAAATTTTAATGATTTTGCCCAAATGACCATTCCAGCTTTATTGCCATGCCTCAGTTATATTAGTACTATAGTTGTAGCACGAATGGTTCTTTGGGTGAACTTGATGTGTATTCTTTGGGTGAACCGTATGCTCGTTTGCCCCCACTTCTATAAAAAACATGAAAGTAAGGGCTATGAAATAAAGCGAATTTGTGGGAGGTTTGAGATATGTAAAAGCATTAAATGATAGGAATGGGCTTGCAAAAGTAAAAGTAAGTAAAATGATTATAGTGTAGCTTAGACTGCTTTACCGTGATTGAGACCGCGTTAAACGTGGACCCGATAACCTATGGCGTATTTCAGTGCTGGTAGTGAACGGTTTTTTTGTAGCAATACGGTTTTCCTGTGGAAATCGCGCACCTTTAATACCTTTAATGCGTTGAATTCCGTAGTTGTTTAGTTTTTTTTTTTTGTAATAAATATTCTTGTATAACAGTTAATATCAAAGTTTTAGTAGCAATTTGTTTTTCGTAGAGGCTAAAGAAACAAAGAAAACATCAACTTTAGAACGAACTTTTACCTTTATGTACGTTATTGTATAAACATTGTCAACCTATTAAGCCATTTTATGTTGGGTATATGGTGAATGATTTTTGAAAACTGTTGTACAAGTATGTGGTGCGTTGTGCAGGACAGAGGGAGCTCGTGGCTGCTCGGGGCGGACGTGGCGCTGACGGCCGAAGACTTCTTGATCTGGAGCGTGGAGAGCGCGGCGCGGCTGGTGCGGCCGCTGTTGGAGCTACTGTTCGATGTGTGCCACGTGACGCTGGGCCTGCGCCCGCACTGCCGCCACCACGAGCACGATATCGGTACTTATAGCCTCAACACAACATTTCTCCGCTCACGCGTGCTGACCTTTACTTCTTAAATTTCTGTTTGCTTATTTTTTTTCATCCAACCCTCTAATTAGTCCAGGAGAAATCGGCGCATTAGTACCGAAAACTATTCCTCCTCAATTTCTTATGACCTAGACCCTTTTTACTGAAAACTAAGCATTCCAACTTAGTTCTCGTGAGTGACAACGCATACATTTTTATTCTTAATCGAGGATAGATGTAAACATTTATGGCCACAATGTTCACTTACCATCAGGTTGGCTGTGTGCCCGCTAGTCACCCTTATAAAAAAAGTGTTCGATGTTCTGCAGTGAAATCGATACCTTGAACAATTTCCGGAATCGTATGTTCGACTCAGTTCAAATATGGCCTGATAAGTTTTGAAATTGAGATTAATAATTTTGAATTTCAAATGAGAACGTCACATTAAAGACGTATGACGCAAGCTCTAACCGTTATTTCACACTTTTTTTATTCCCACTTTACTTTGTTACGTGTATAGTGATAACGTTCGTTGCATTATTGAATTTTCTATTTTTAAATTAATATTGTTGCTGTCGAGTCTGTTATTATCACAGATCTCCCTCAAGTTTTGAGTTTGCCGCGCCACAGTTGGTTTCATGTTTGCCTGCCTCGTTGATCGTATTTATGCGACTGCCGTTTCGAATCCCGGTTCGGGCCAAAGAATTCGTTTTTGAATTTTTCTGTCAAGAAATTCTCAGTAACAGCCCGGAGTCAGTAAATTGGTGGTGTTTTACCCCGTACCTCGGAAAGCACACAACACAGTTGGTTTTGCGACTGATCTCCCTCCGAAGGGAAGGGAAGGTGCACCTGTGTTTGCACCATAATCCTGTTTTTCGCAGATTTGCTAAGCGAGCTGCTGAGCATAGCTATACGTGCGTGACTATTATTATTACATGTGTGTTTCTCACTTGGTTAATTTGGTTACGTGGTAGAGCCACGCTGCAGCTATATCATCGTTGTAGCACGAATGGTTCGGCTCGACCGGGGCAGGAGCACGATCACACAGAATATCAGCGTAAAATAGCAGATTGATGCTGCTGTGTTTCGTATTTACTGGAAACAAGGCATTCCACTTTAGTCCTCATGGTTGACAACTCATCTGCACTATGATTCTTAATCGAGTATAAATGTAGATGTGTATGAGTCACAGCATCCACTTACCATCAGGTGGACCGTGTGTTCGTTTGTCGCCTTACTTCCGTATAAAAGAACTTTGACTAAGAATCAAAGAAGAAACATTCATGAATAAATAATCTTTCGTAAATGGAATGTAGATAACACAGCCTTTTAATGCGCAAGGCTGGGCATAGGCCTTTCCTGTTGTAGATGGTCTTTTGTTCTAATCGTGACGCTTGACGTATTGACGATAGCAGCACCAGACGTGACACTGCTATCACTTGCCAGTCTAGGTAATTAAACACTGGTGTAAACGAGATGGTTATACAGTCCACTTCCGGTGATGTAAATATATAATTTTATACGTGGTAGAGCCATGCTGCAGTTATATTAGTAGTATAGTTGTAGTACGAATGGGTCGGCTCGACCGGGGAAGGACCACGCTCACAGAATACCAGCGTCAAATAGTAGCTTAATGCTGCTGTGTTTCGTATGGTGAGTGTAGAGAACCGGAGACCCTTTTTACTGGAAACGAGGCATTCCATCTTAGTCCTCACGGGTGACAACGCATCTAAATTTTGATTTGTAATCGAGGATAAAGGTAGATATCTATGAGCCACAGCAACCACTTACCATCAGGTGGACTGTGTGCTCGGTTGTCATCCTATCCTATCAAAAAAATATTACTGCATCGCCCATATTCGCCTCTTAAGATACCCAAATTTAGTGATTGATTTTATGACGTCACCACCACATTGATAATAGAATAGGTGCTGGTAAATAATAGAATTTCTTTGGGGAAACCTATGTTTTGCAGCGGACTTGTGATTTAATAATACCGTGTAGTGGTGGTTAAAACATATTCACATCCCCATATCGTCCCGTGGGTGTCGTAAGAGGCGACAGAGGGGAACTGTAGCTGGAGACGGGCAGCACCCTTTGCCTGATAACAACTTAAATTAATAAAAAGCTGCGGTTGCCAACCCTTCTGCCAACTATAGCAAAGCCCCCCCCCCCCCCTTTTGAGGTAGTGTATAGGGTAGGCCTATGTTCACCAGTGGACTTTTATAGGCTGTAATGGATGTGGACGGATGAAACAATAGTTGTTTCTTGTTACCGTATACTTCGTCAGTTACAAATTCTTCATTTTCTATAGTATGTCGAAATATTTACAATAGTGTGTTCCAGTTTTGAAATAAAAACAAATTTATGTAAGCTTTGATGAATTACGATGTTACAGTTTTTCTAGTTTAAATACTAACTATAAATAATTTGACCTTTACTTGTTGTAAAGAATGTTACACATATTCCATTTATTATTACGTATTTGAACCAAACGCTTTGCTTCGTCGTTCATTATACGTAGACTGCACTTAAAGTCTTGCGTAACTTATTAATTAAAATATTTATAAGTATATAAATATATTCGTTGTTACTCGAAGTGTTCTCTTTTACATATAAACATTTTTTCATACGTTCGAACCATTTTTCAAAACAATGTGACCATTGGTCTCGTGGCATGTTTTTTTTTCTGATTGAACCCCGTCACTGAGTCTTCGGAGCTTGTAAAAGTGGAGCCTCTCATCAAATCTTTAATTTTAGGAAAAACAAAAAATCACAGGTTGCAAGGTTCGGTTTGTGTGCTGCATGGGTCACGAGCTCTACTTTTTCAGAGACCAAAAATGTTTTTGTTTTATTGGCGGTGTGCGAAGAAGCATTGTCGTGGTGCTAGACGATGCGGCTTCTCGGTCTTCTTTCTCGTAATTTTGTCAAGAACAGCGGGTAAACAAATGCTGGTCTACCACTCGGTATTAACACTTCTTTGATCTTCAAGTGGGACTGTGTCAACGGAACCCGTTTGGGAGAAAAAAATGCATTATTTTTTTCCGACGTTCCGCGCTTGCTTCAATTTTGTCGGTCTGTTCTCGCTTTCAAACATCCATTCACTAGATTGTTGTTATTCTCTGGTTCAAAACAATAAATCTAAGTTTCGTCTCCTGTGATGATGTCGTAAACAGCATTAGAATGGCCATGGTCGTACCTAAGTAACATCTTTTTGCACCAATCCACACGAGCCTGTTTTTGTTCTGAAGTCTGTTCTTTGGGAGTCCAACGACAACAAAGTTTTCTAACTTTTAATTCTTCATGTAGAATTTTTTGAATTTGACTCATACCAAATTCCAAATGTCCCCGAATCGTGTCATAGGTGATGCGTGTTTTCTTCAATTAGCTTCTTCACAGTAGCCACATTTTCCTCAGTGGTCGCAGTTACGGGCCCTCCTTCACGAGTTTCATCATGTAGAGAAATCCGTCCCCGCTCAAATTCGGCATACCATCGCCTCACGGTGCTCAGATTAAGTGCTTCCCTCCCAAAAGCATTTTGAAAGCAAACGGCACAATCATGCTGAGAAAAAGCATATTTTAAATCATAAAAAAATCATCGCTCTAAAATATTCTCGCGTTAACTCCATTTTCACTGCGGATGACAAAATTCAAAGTGCGATAAAAAACAAATGACAGATAAAAATTTAAAAAAAATCATTCAAAATTCAAACAGTTCTCAGAAACTAGAAGTGCAAAACTTTCAGTGTGTCCCATGTACTTACAGCAAAGGAGTGGAATAAGTTGCCAGCATCTGTCTTTCTATCCGATTACAGTGTGGGCGTCTTCAAGGCAAGAGTGAATATATAAATAGGCTTTTGTTAAGTCAGTATGCTTACCATCTTAGGCTGCATCACCACTTACCATCTGGTGGGATTGAGTTAAGCGTTGACTTAGAATAATAATAAAAAAGAAGCGAGTTTCTTTGTATTTTGTTTGTATAAAATTGAAGAAAAATCTCTTTGGTTGTACTGTTTGTATCTGGCTGGTTTTAACATTAATATATATGTATAGGCTATTAAGAAAAATAAAAGGTATAAAATCGTAGACAGAGAAACCTATAGACTAATGATTGGCGTGGCCTCGAGTGAGAAAGGACGATAACGTAGTTTTAGGTTATACAACTACCTTTATGATTTTAAACATATTTAGATAAAATATTTAATTTTTCTAAGAACTGAACTGATCAAGATTCACCAATCTTAAGCTCACAAAACACTTTTTTCTCTCTTAAACCAACTTGTAAACTCCTTAGATCGCTACGAACTGTCATAGTTGTTCAACAAAGTGTAGTTAGCTAAACAAAAAAACCGGCACGGAGTAAGGGGCAAACAATCACACCGCTCTGTCTCATTTCTATACAAGACGCAATGGCGAAGCTAGAGCTCCAAACTAGGACAAGTCCAAGATATAAATTGATAAAAATATAGATTGTTGTTTTTAGCAGTTTTATAAAAATACAGCAATCTTGATCTGTCTCCACGCTTCAGTTTCATATTCAGTGCTGTCAATGACGTGTTTAACAAAGCACACAGAAGGCATACCACTGCTAGATAGGTTGTATTACATATCAGCAATTGCATAGCTTCGATGGCTTTGAAGAAAGCCGTTTGGGTTTGTTTAAGCGAAAGAAAAAAATATTTACATCCAATACAATACATGAACAAAAGTAAAACACGAACAAAGTACAAACTATGTACAAAATAAAAAAAAAATTTACATTCTAATGGATAAGAGATAAAATAAGATAAGTGGAATCGTCTCGCTTTCTTATGGAAAGATTTAATTACGTCCACGTAAAATGTTGGTGAACGTTTTAATTGTACCAATAACTGTTTTTAATTGCGATAATTGATAAGTCTGAAATACACTCCTAACCTTATGTATTATCTCAACAAAGTTTAAAGATTTCCTCTCCGATTATCACTTTAACACACTTCAATTCATCACAA